ACAGGTACTAGAGAGCGCTATTTCTCTCGGTACCGAAGATTCGACGGATCCAAAAACCGACGGATACAAAACCGTGCGACACAAAAGGAGGCCGAAGGTCAATTCTACTGTTGTTGGCACTGGTGCTTCGGCTAGGGCCAACAAAATAACAGTTTATTAAACTTAGCATAGGTAGGGCGGATAGAGTCAGAACTAAAAAAAACTAGAACTATTGCCAAATCAGGTATTGTGAATATTAGGAAGTCCTTGGAGGCTGTGGATTGGAATATTTGCCTTGGCTCTAACGATGTTAACTTTATGTCTTCATTTATATTGGACAAAGTTCAAGACTTGATCAAACAAAATTTTTCTGTTAAAAACGTTCCTCATAAAAAATCACTGGTGAACTGGTTTGATAAAGATCTTGTAGTTCTTAGAAACAGAGTGTCAGCTGTTAAAACTCTCAGTAAAGTCTCACAGAACCCTCTATATACAGAAGCGTATAAATCACTAAATAAGGAATATAAACAAAAAATTCAACAAACCAAAAAAGCTGCCTTTGATGGCTTTATCGAAAAATCAACCAATAAAAACAAAGATGTCTGGAAAATCGTTAACTATGAAAGAAATTGTCTTGGGAGATGTGATAAAGAACCTGATTTATCAGCAAACGATCTTAACAGTTTTTTAAGTTCTGTATTGAGTAATATTATAAAGATCTTAACGGTGAATCACAATGTACACAGTGTATGTGTTGAAGGGATTCCACTGGAGGAAACTACTTTTTTTTGCATCCGATAACTTGTGATGATACGTACCGAGCCATACTAAGATTAAAAAAATCTTATTCTAGAGATGCTTATGATATCAATAGTGTCTTGGTGAAGGGACTGGTTGAGTACATTACACTGCCATTAACCACTTTATTTAATAAATGTATTGACACAGGTGTATTTTCGTCGCTGTTTAGGATTTCGAGAGTAGTTCCAATCCATAAGGCTGGTGATATAAATGATGCTAACAACTATAGGCCGATTTCAATCGTGCCTTTGTTCGGAAAATTTTTTGAGATCTTACTAAAAGATCAGCTAACTTCTTATATTAATAAGATCAAATGTCTTTGTGCTGGTCAGTTTAGGTTTAGGGGAGGGTGTTCGACGATCCAAGCAGTGTCTAAAGTTGTGAGTGGGATAGTTGAGGGCCTCGAGGGGGGTGAATTAGTTGGTTTGACCTTGTGTGATCTCTCCAGGGCCTTCGACTGTGTTTCTCACTAGCTTCTTATTAAAAAGCTATATGGATATGGTATACGAGGTCTGCCCTTAGATCTTATAGCGTCCTACTTGCAGGGCCGACAGCAGTTTGTAGAATACCAGGATGACCGTTCATCACTTGAATCAGTAGTAAGCGGAGTGCCCCAGGATTCCGTCCTGGGCCCGCTATTATTTACAATTTACATAAATGACCTTTATCATTTCTTGGCACCCAATCACTGCGTGATGTTTGCCGACGATACATCCTTCACTACATCTGCTGAGAGTGTCGAGGAGTTGTCCGTTGGGGTTGGCATGTTGGACGACAGGGCTCATGTCTGGTTCGAAAATAATTATCTTAAATTAAATTTAGACAAGACCCAGAGTATTGTGTTTTCCACCAATTGCTTGGTAAATAGTGGACAGTCCGTCAAGTTGCTTGGCATTAGGATCGATGATAGTCTAAATTGGAGACAACATATCTCAGACCTGAAAAATAGATTGTGCAGCAACATATTCGTTCTTCGACGACTGAGAGGCATGATAGGAACATGGACTCTGCGTATGGTCTATTTTTCTTTGTTGCATTCACACTTATGCTATGGCACGGTGCTGTGGGGTGATTCTTCAGCTGCTGTGGGGATTTCTAGAATGCAGAAAAGGGCCATTCGAGTCATTGCTAATATAGGATATAGGGACCATTGTCAACCTTATTTTAAAAAATTTATATCTACTACCAGTTATTAGAGATACAAAGAACGAAAGGAAACTTTAGCGCTAGAGTTGAATAGGCATGGCAATCGCATGCCTATCCAACTCGTTCGGATCTCCTTAGACGGCCTAGGTTTAGACTGAGGAAGTCTGAGAGCAACTCGTTGAACCTGAAATTGTATAATGTTTTGTCAGGTACCGTGAAAAAGATGAGCAATAGAAAATTTAAACATACTATTAAAGAATTTCTACAACGTCTTTGTTTTTACTCCCTGCGAGCATACCTTGACACTGTCACTGGTATCGATGCGCTATAAAACTTTATAGTACTGTATAATTTTGTTTGTATTAGATGTGTGTTTTTATGTTATTTTTTAATGTGATTTTATTACACTTGAATATAACTTCTGACTTGCTACAATTGTACGTTCCTTTTGTACGAAACGTAGTCAATAAATGAATCTATTTATCAATCTATCTACCTCGATTGGCGCGATTAAATTTAATGACTCACCCTCTAGGAGCGGCTTTAAATAGTAAAATTTTTGGATAGGCGCTAGACTTGTATTTTCATGTATCAATGAATTGAATGCGTCTCGGAACTCTAACCAACGTTCACAAGCACCGTTAAAGGTTGGTGGTTTGACGTTCGGAAGCTTTATAAAACTAGGAAAATTAGTGCCGCAACTTGTATTTGTGTTATTGATTAGTTCATTTTCAGAACTGTTACTTTTTCTTGAATTAGAATGACTATCACTCGTTTTCTGGGAGGTGTTTTCGTCAGACAATTTTTGAATAGCGTTTCTGAATTTACCGACAATTTGGAAATAATTGTTTTCGAAATATTTTCTCTCAGTGTTTTCTGAATCAAAAGACAGCTGTGAAAGTGAACTTAGATATTCGATCTCATCTTGTAATTCCTCAAATTGTGATAAAATAGATTCAAGTTTCTCTAAACTAGTACTTAATTCGAAAAAGTGGGCTTCACTTAATTGTGATTGTTCTAGCGTATTGAAATAGGTCGCAGCCCTTGTTAATTGGGCTTTTAATTGACCTTGTTTAAGCTTTAGTTTGTTTAAATCCTCCATTTCAAAGGCGTGATAAAATTAATAAGAAATCTCGAATAAAATGGCAGTAATGGAAAGATCTTACTTGTGTGAGAATTGAAAGGATGCTCAACTCGTCGCTTTCGCTGCTAGGCTTGCGTGTCCGTGTAAATATATGTCAATATTTACTCCTGCTTGACCAGCTACCCGTACTACCAATCTTGACTTGTCTTGTTGCGTGAATATGTGTCAATATCCACTTGACTCTTGCTGGATCAACTGTCACTACAAAACTTGACTCGTATTCTTGTGAATATGGGTCAATATTCACTTGAATTCCGGTTTCATCCTGCTCGTCAGGGCCAAACAAATGGTGAGTGGTAATGTCCTGGACTGTATTTCGTGATTGGAATTGAACGTAGAAAAATACTCAAGTTCCTTATGTGAAAACTCCTTGAGAACTCGCTGCCGGCGAGTTGTACCCGGGCTTATTCGGTGTGCGAGGTTGTCACGTTTATTAACATTCTCAAAAAACATTACATGCAAATTAACATTATAAATGTAAAATGAGACGTTAACGAGTAGTTTGAATGATATTAGATACACCGAACGTTTGCGTGTTTCGAAGAATGTCGGGATTACAGTTAAAGTAGATTCTTTCCAAAACGAGTGGAGATTCAATCAAATTGTTTCCAACTTTATAAAGAAATAATAAATCAAAATCTAAAGTTTAGAGCATTTTCATTGTACACTCTCCAGATGTGCGATATATAAATACATTGGATTCCAGACTGGCGTAGCATATTCCAATAAAAGTTTGACAATACTGTAAAAAAGTATTATTAAATATTTTTTATTATTAAACCCACTAGTCACCTGTAAAATTAATCCAATACTCTTTAAAGACTTTTGAACAATGTTTTCTACCTGCATGTCAAAAAGAAGCCCCGAATTCAATGTAATACTCAGGTCCATTACAGAGTCCGAAAAGTTCAGTTTGTAGTTACCTAGGTAGAGATCACTTAATTTGCAGTTGTGATAATTTTTTTGTAAATAAATTACAGTGACATTTGTCAGGGGTACCAAACAATCTGTCCAGAGAACAATATTCTTCAAAATTTGAAAAATCTTCCTTCAACAAGACGTAGTCTGCCCTTAAGTGAAATAATTTCGAAATTGTGAGATCATCTGCGTACAAACACTGGCAAAAAGCACTGGCCAAGATCATACGGGAAAATGGCAAACACGAAGGGACCCAAATGCGACCCATGAGGTACCCTCGATGTTCTATTTGTACTTCTTTGATTTTATCCCATTAACAACAACATACTGCGCACCGAAAATCTCCAGTTTCACCGCAAGAGTTGGGTGGTGTATTTTATCTGTAGGGAGCTACATTACTCTTGGCACCGGATTTCAAAATGGGCATGACTTGAACGGTTTTTCCATGATATTTACCAGTTAAGACGGATTGATTGTTTAGCAAAAAGAAGGGCTCACAGAGATCGGGGCATGATTTATATATATATATATCGAAGGAAAACCGTCCAGCCCAGCAACAATAAAATATTCTTGTTGTTGAAGGGGTCCCAGATGATTAAAAGATTCAAAGAAGCTTGGAAAAAGTTCACAGATATCAAGGTTGTTTGAAGCATGTGAGGTGTTTAGAATCATTCTTTGTGACAAACTTTTTGTGTTGTTTTTTGATGCTAATAAACTATCAAAAATCTTTTGTATTTTGTAACATTAATTTTAACGGTCTTTCTTAAATTCGAGAAAACGTCATAAACTATTTGTCCCCTATTTTTCCAGTTTCGCACAAGTAAGACATCTGCATTCTGTGGACAGGCTAAAGTGTTTTGCAGGAAGTTTCGAAGCCGCCTCGTATATCTGAGGATCGCCGACCGAGCTAACTCGTACGATAGCACGTGCGCATTGCAATTTATTGAAATTACGAATGTCGAGGCGAATGCAGGACCGAGACCGGAGGAGCCAGTCGAATAGAATCGTGCCAGCGTGCGATGTTGTTGCGATCGCTATACGACACGAATGGCTTATTTTATTTTAGTGCGGTGTTTTCGGCAGTAAAAAATGAAAAGTCTTTTACGCAACCGTTTGTACGTTGTCGTACGTGCGGAGATAATTTTCATGTAATGGTTATAAATGTTTTGGCGATGATAGGGACGACAGTGAAAGGCTAAACGCGAGTTTAGGCGAGACTTACTCGCCAATCGCCTCTAGCTTCAGCGTTCCGAGGCAGGGCCGGAGTCGGCTCTAAAGGAAGCGTGCGAAACCGAGGACCTTTATTTTAAATGTCTACTAGGAACCTTAGGCTTTCAAGCAAGGAGATTAATCCTTCGTTAATATAATAGAAAAGGTAAACTGTTGGTTGAATGATTTCAGATTCACGCATATGCATAAGCTTTATGCTAAATATAGGTCCATTTAAGGTGGTCCTATGCCTTAGTAAAACACTGAGGAAAAAAGTTAATTACAAATAGTGTTTGACACTAACTTTATATTTCATTTATAGTTTTTTTATGTATACAAGGTGCTCCATTATCCAGGACAATAAGGAACTTTATTTTTTTTAAGGGAATGCTATAAATATTTTAAAAAATTCTAATTATTCGCTTACTTTTTGAGTATTTTTTATCGTCATATAGTATACGAAAAGTTTATTAGTTTTCGATAAAAATGGACAATTTTTTGCGGAAAAACAGGTCTTTGGAAAAATGTTTTTTGTTACGCTTGAAAACTAAAATTCGGATTTTTTTATTATGGATCCATGGAAGTGGTTAATATTTAGTGCTTTGACCTATCTATGGTGAACATTTATTATACAGGGTGGTCCAAAATGACCATCAAAAAATGTTTTTCTAATTAAAAAACTTTTTTTTATGAATACACTGTATTTCGTACTTTTATTGGGTTTGGGATTTAATTCTGGATGATTTCATATACCGGGTGATATAAATTTTTAGGTGCCAAAATATTGGCTTCCTATGTACATTATGTAGCAAAGTTGTAATATAACTTTTTGAAGGGGTCGCTATGATTAACTCATGTGTCGAGTTTGAATAAATTTTAATAAGTCAATCTTCATTAGAAAATTTTTGTAGTTTAGGTAATAAATCAAACACCAGTAAAATACATTTTTAGTATGATAACACAAAAATTCATGACAGTAACAATATTTTTATTTGTGATTGTTATACGTTATTAAATGCGCTTAAATTACAGCTAAAGATGCGTTATTCAATTCATAATTAAGTGGTATTACGCAAGAAATAGTCTTAGAGCAGCATCTGAAATGATTTCATTTTATTTTCCTGCTGTATTATTACCCAATTAGAATCCAAAGACACCGAATAAATAACTACAAATGTTTAGCTAAAAATGTCGATAATTGAATAGAAGAAAGGGATAATTTAGTTTTGAACATTTTACTGCATGTGGAGGAAAACAAAATGATTAGTACGAGGATTCTTGGACAAGCTGTAAATAAACATCAACCCACAGTGTTGCGCACATTAAAAAAAAAACAAATGTTTTTCCTATAAATATGAAAATCACTGAGAACTCTACAAAGGCGATAAAGAGACAAGAGTAGCATTTTTTTTTGAAATAATGAGGGATTTTTTTTAAAACATTTATTTCACGAACCAAATGATCAAAATTGTCGGTAACCTCACGGCAGAAACCTATTTGGACTTATTACACAATCAAATTGAACCCGCACTTGAAGAAGTTGTTCGCGCAGATCAGGAGTTCTAGTACCAGATGGATGGTTGTCCCGCCCATAATTCCCATATGGTTAGGGAGTATTTGGGAAATACTTTTAACGGGAATATCATTGGCCCAAGGTACCGAATCCTTTGGCCACCCAGGTCACCTGACCTCTCGCCGAACGACTTGGTTCTGTGGAGTCACTTGAAAACTGACTCCACAGTTAATGTTAAATTTGAAAATCTTTCTTATTAGCAATGTTTTGTAGCCGAATTTTTATTATAATTTAAAATTATATTTAATAATGAACTTAAGAAACAAATTTCTAGTCGTTCCTTTCAGCTTTCTTCTCCGTGCTTTAAATGAAATTCATTCCAAGGACGCTTTCAGGGATAAGTAGGCCTTAAGAACCGAGTATGAGTTTGATCCTTATGAAAACATACCTACATACTCAGTTTATTTTGAGTGTGTGAAAGCATATTGTAAACCAACATTTATTTGATATATGATAGTCCAGCTTGATGTCAAGTTTTTACAATTTTGCCATCATATTTAATTCAATAACTGAAGATCGGTTTATTAAAATTTATTCATACCGACTCCTTTAAAAAGATGAATTACAACTTTGCTATAAAATGTATAGAGAAGCCAATATCTGGACACCTAAAAATTTGCATGGGATTTCCTATGTTCCGTTCGATAATGCAGTCTACTATTACTACAAATTAACTTATCCTATTTCTAATTATTATTATTGCGCAATAAATGTTCAAAAATAAGTTCTACTTATATACACATGCGTAGTCTTTTGCGTATATTTTCTTAACATAAACGGAGTTATTCCTCTGCTCTTGTGAGGCGATTCACATAAACATGATCTTTAACATGTCCCCACAAGATGAAATCCACTGGTGTTAAGTCATATATATATATATATATATATATATATATATATATATATATATATATATATATATATATATATATATATATGTTATATCCGAAAATCCTATTGTGCACATGGTTTAAATGCCACCGACCTGCAAGAGTGCAACGATTGCGAAAACGTCGTGTCAACGATATGTCGCAACATCCGCAGCCGTCGACCCCGTCAACGTCAGCATAAATTTATTATAAATACTAATAATGTTGTCTGATAACATTCTCTCATCACGAGGTCATTATGTCCATTTTTACTTTAATTTTAACGGTCTAATAACATTCTCGCATCACGAGGTTATTATGTCCATTTTCATTTTGATTTAAAGTTAATAAATATATTTTTTAAAAAGTTATTTTTGAAAAGTGAAATATAAAAATTGGCGCAGTCGTAGTAGGATCTGTTCACGTTGCTAGAACACGAGTATTCTAACTAGTGACGGCGGATTCCAATCCCTTAAACGGAAAGAAGAACCATCGCAGCCCAGTCGTGCCGGAACAAGGAACCTTCCATCACCGTTTCGAGAGGCAGGAATTCGGAGTAGGATCTGTTCACGTTGCTAGAACACGAGAATTCTAACTAGTGGCGGCAGATTCCGACCCCTAAATCTAGGGAACAACGAAGACAGCCCCATCGTACCGGAACAAGGAGAAACCCATCACCGTCTCGAAAGGCAGCAATGAAAATAGTACAGTAAGTGTTAAGAATCATTACGAATTATTTTATTTTTAATTTGCAACATTGTTGAATTTATTACGTTCGATTACCCAAGGTTGAAAATTACCTATTTATTGATTTAATTTTAGTCTGCAAGTTTAACTTAGCAATGTTTAAAACAAAAAAAATGTGTTTGAACCTAGTACAATGCTGGAAGTTGAACCATATAAACTTTCGGAAATTTTCTGTATCGTACCTGAATTTGAGGGTGACCAAATCTTTTTAGGAAATTTTATAAAAGCGTGTGATTGTGCTTATAATATGGCAAGAACGCAACAAAAAATTCTTTTAGTGATTCAGAGAGTATGACCCTTAATACACTTCTTACAGCTTTAGAGCCTAGATTAGGTCAACTTATTCGTGCTAGTAATCCCACTTCACTCTTAGAAGCCCAAGCAAGGATTCGTCGAGAACTCCAACTCTCATATTTTGAAAATCAAAAATCTGTCAAATCTAATCCTTCTAAATCACATTCTGCGAATATTCGAACCCCTCTTCAGCAACCCAAATGCACTTTTTGTAATAAAATTGGCCATACTTCAAATCAATGTAGAAGTACGCATCAGCAAGTAATTCGTTCCAACAAAGCAACGTTAGTAACAACTCGAATCAAATACCGCTGAAATCTTCAAACTCTTATTCTAAGCCACATTTTATGAATCCACACCCGCAGCGAACTCATCATGTAAACTCAAACCCGATCTACATCGACGGTTATTTCGGAAATTCCCAGGAATTTCCACATGCAAATTACACTCTTCAAGAAGATAATGAAATTCAAAATCATTATTCTAACCATCCAGAAAACTGGGAACCAGAGCAGGATTTTCAAGAAAGCCCTTACGATATCCCACCAGACGAAATGTCTCTCGACTCGATTTTCGAAATCAGTTCCCAAATTCAAACCCTGAATTTAGACAATATGAATCCCAATCTAAACTTTCCAGAACAGAACTTCTGTTAAACCCTCTTCTTACGGTAAATTCTAAAAAATTATACTATATTTTTGACGCTACGCAAAAATTCAAAATATTAATAGATACAGGCGCAGGTATTTCTATTTTTAAATATAAAACCGCTGAAAATTACAGAACACGAGTTCCAGAAAATATTACCATCCAAGGTATAACAAATCAAAAACTTTTCATTAAAGAATCCACACTTATTCCATTCACGGATAACGACAAACATGAAGTCTATCTTTACGATCTTGATATCGAATTTGACGGAATTCTCGGTTTAGATTTTCTTGATCACTACCAATGTATAATCAATTTAAAGTCCAAAAAACTTGTAACGAATTTCAAAACAATGCCTTTACATAAAGTAGCACACGAACCTGTTTTTCCCAAAATTTGTAAAAAACCTGAACAAAATATTCAAAATCGAATTTCAGTCGAACCTAGGACCGAAAGAATTTTCAAATTAAAATGTAATTTAACAAACACAGACGCTATTCTCCACTCTTAAGAATGCGAAAAAGTTAGGTTACCTAATGCTTTAGTTAAAGTAAATAGCAAAGGCGATTTTTTTACTACTATTATTAGCGCTAATGCTATCCCAAAAACTATAGATTTTTCAGATTTATCTATCGAACCTTTTAATACAAATCTTAACGACAAAGAAATAAATACTATTTTCAATTTAAATTCTCAACCTGTTGATAGGCGCGGTATAATTCAATCCCAGTTACGCACCGATCACTTAAACGAAGAAGAAGAATTAATAACACAATTATGTCTTGATTTTCCTGATATATTCTATTTAGAAGGAGATCATTTAAGTTTTACTAATGAAATTAAACATACTATTGAAACGAACAACGGCAGACCGATTTTTACAAAATTATGTAGGTACCCACATGTCCACAAACAAGAAGTAAAGTCACAAATCAACAAAATGCTCGAACAAGGAATCATTCGACCTTTCACTTCTCCATGGTCTTCCCCTGTTTGAGCTGTCCCAAAAAAATTAGACGCTTCTATGAAACA